CGTTCGTGTCAAAATTTTCCCAACACGCGCTCCCCTTTGTCAAACTTCTCTGCAAAAAGGCCGCGTTTGAATGGATCGAAGAGTGCGAGCGCTCCCTTCTCCACCTCAAACGGGAATTATGTCAACCACCGGTCTTTTCAAGACCGAACAAGGAAGAAACTCTCTACCTTTATCTGGTCGTAGCTTCTGAGACGGTCAGCGCTGCCCTTATTCGGGAAATTCCCGAGGGGCAAAGACCCATCTACTTCACGAGCAAAGCATTACACGGCCCTGAATTAAGATACCAACAGATCGAGAAAGTAACCTTGACACTCATTAACGCAACGATGAGGCTGAGGCATTATTTTCTGGCCCACATCATTATCGTTCGGACAGAGTAACCAATAAAATAGTTACTCGGTCGACCTGATATGGATGGCAGAATGCCCAAATGACTGTTAGAGATCTCCGAATTTGACATCAGATACGTGAACAGGAAAGCCCTTAAAGCACAAGTGTTGGTCGATTTTATGGCAGAAATGACCTTCCCGAGCACCACAAATGGGGCACACAAGCGGACCATCTTCGTGGATGGAGTCTACGACTTGACGGGAAGCGGGGTAGGCATCGTGCTGGAAAACAAGGAAGGAATACTAATCAAAGTCTCCCTCGCGTTGTCCTTCCTAACCTCGAACAACTAAGAAGAATATGAGGCTCTCCTTGTTGAATTATGCCTGGTCGATGACTTGGGCGCCGAGGAAGTAAAGATCTTCACGGACTCCCGGATCATTGCCTCCCAGGTATGAGAAGAATACCAGGTCAAAAATGATCAACTCTCAGAATTCTGGACTCTAGTCCAAGAAAGAATGAAGAAATTCAACTCCGCAGACGTACAACATGTTCCCTGCGAACACAATTCTCGAGCAGATATCGTGTCAAAGTTGGGTAGCAAGAAGAATAAAAGAGGGAACAAATTCGTATTACAAGAGATACCCCATCGACCAAGCATCAAAAAACCCTCCTCGTCTCTAGATGTATATTCCATCAGTGACAGCAGTTGTTGGATGACCCCAGTATACAACTACCTCACAAAGGGAGAACTTCCATCCGGCCAGAAGGAAGCCAGTGTGGTCAGACGAAGAGCCAGCTCCTACGTCATGGTTGAAGGAAAACTATATAGAAGAGGATTCTCTACCCCCTCCTCAAATGTGTCGAAGAAAATAAAGTAGCTCATATCCTGCGAGAAATACACGAAGGTATCAACAGCCAGTACATGGGCAGAAGATCCATGGCCAGAACAAAAGAGGACACTGGAGCAGTCAAACATCAAGCTGAGGCATCTCCTCGGGAACAGGCTCTCTTTGGGAATATCCCCCCGACCAAGGCTTCCTTAACACCCTTAAGAAACTCAGGGACCACAATCTTACTGTCATCTACATAGTAGAGGAATCTCGTCCCGATTGTGTTCAACTCCACGTCAAGATTCACTACTCTTAGTTACGCCACAACATTTTTGAAAGATCCCCCAGCATTGGTCGTGCCATCATCGATGGTCAACTGAAGACGGGAAACCAACTCTGCACGATTTTTCAAACCCCTGGCCTCCTCCGGTTCTTCCTCTCCAGAATCTACCTCAGCCCTCAAGGACATAATTATTCTCTCGAGAGCCTTTTTCTCCTACAGAAGAGTCTCGCGCTCCTCGGTTAACTTGGCCAAGTTCTCTGCCGACGTCTTGTTCACAGCATCCGCATTGGCGAGCTTCTCCTCGAGAGTCGTTACCTTAGCCTGATATTTTTTTTAGTTCGGCCTCTAGGAAGGCGCCTTCCTCGGTGTACGCCATGACCATTCCCAATACCCTCATAACGGCATTGGCATCCCCAGCCAACATTACCCTTTTGCTCAGACGATTCATCTCTTCAAGCCTAAGGGACTCAGCCCGAGGAAGTTGCAAGGCAGAATCTTCGAAGAAAGCCTTGCCGTGAAAACAAGGAGGGAACACAAACTTCCCCTTGTCCTGCTGACCGGTCAAATCAACGCTACCCTTGGTACGCAGCCTCTTGAACCTCGAAGACACCTGCTGGGGAGAAAGATGCTCGACAGCCTGGCCAGTCGACGATGTTCCAGAGCCCGACTGGGGAGCCGTCCCCACCTCAGTTTGAGAACCTTTAGCGAACTTTTGTTCCTTCTTCGCCTTCTAAACTAACAATTTGGCCATGCGCTTCTGGGCAACATTGATTTTTCCTGCACAACAACAAATTGGAGTTAGCGAATAAAATAAAGAATCGTGCATTCAAATCAGGTTGAAATACAAGACAACTACCTAAGTACGCCACGGGGTCCTCAATTTCGAGGAGCTCCTTGACATTTATAAGACCAGGTTCAAAAATTAAATTCCCATCTTCATCAACTAGTGGTCTCCCCCTTTGCCCAAACGTTAGACTAGGGGAATCCCCGCAATAAAGGCCGACAAACGGTCATGGCTAGCCTGGTCCTCAGGACCCAACTGACCCTTCTTCCAGATGTAATGGCCAGTCCTTTCAGCATAATGCTTCCTCGACCAATGAAAATGAAACTTTGACACAAGTTTCACCACCGGGTCCCCTTCCCCGTTCAGCACAGGTCCCCTAGCTTCATCGACCAGTTGGACGCCCCTAAAAACGTTCAACAATGCCCTCTCTGACACCGGCTGGATCAGCATATAATTGCCCTTAAAATCTCGGACTCACTCGAGATAGGCTTTGAACTTTTTTTGTTCGCCTGCTTGAGAGAGACCCATTTGAACTGAGTGCTAGAAGTGCCCCACTGGAGATGGAAGCAGTAGAAGAAAAAAGGAACGCTGGCCCCTATCGTCAGGTAGTCACGCACTATCTCGAAAGCACGTAAGAAGGCGACCGAGTTAAGATGAAGCTGGGAGGGAGCAAGACGGAGATTCTGAAAGATGGCCACATGGAGATCGGTGAAAGGAAGCTGAAAACCCAACTCCCGAAAGAGAATTTCATACATCAGAATGTGGTTCAAATCAAATTTCGAGCATATGCGATGGTCCTTCCCGGGGACGTAAATCTTCCACTCCTCCTCAACGTCCTCCCGCTCCATCCCCAGAGCTACCGTCGTAAACACTTCGTCAGGATTCTCCGTAAAATAGGAGGCCCACTCCCGAGGACCCGGCGCGACCCATGCCAAAGGATGCGCAAGGGGCGCGGGCACATCCTGCCCAACCGCGCCCTGATTTGGCCTGCCCAACTCAGAATCATGTGCCCCCGAGGTGCTCCTCTTGATGAACGTGCTCCAAATATACTTGGTACATAATCGTTGCGCTCACTCATAAGCTCATCATCGGTGATGTTGGCCATGGTACTTGAAATGCATAGGACAAAAGTGAATTTGACATCAGAATTCTCCTCGCGCATAGTTGCCCGCGAAACGTGCCCCGTCACGAGCATATCTTAAGTCGTCACTCCTCTTACCAAAAGCAACGACTTGGGGGCTCCTGTTCTGGACTGGCCCAATGACTAGAATTGGCCCAATCCGTTTCCATCTCCAACATGGCCCAATGACTCTAGCCCATCAGCTCTGGCCCTCCGTCGGGCATGCTTGGTCGATCGCTCCCCAAGCGCATCAACGCCAGCACACCCCGAGTCTTACACCTGCCTGTAACGGCAGCTTCCTCCCCGACATTGCTCGTTGCACGCCGAACAGACAACCAGACTAGCCTCATAACGCATTTTCCTGTCATCTCATCCTTGCTCAGAGCAACGGCTAATTACAGACACGACTGCCCGTTTTGACCAGGTCTTGGTAGTTACCTATTTTTGGGGATCCGAATATCCAAGCCCAAAAATAGGGACCAATGACTACGCGTTGGGAGCATTATATAATCCTCACACTTGTGAGGGCCATGTATCCAATATTCATACCAAATATCCCAATATCTTTCTTGTCTCTCTTTGCACTCATTATTACTTGATCGTCAGAGTGCCTTGCAGGTACATCTCATCCTCTCCTCATATTTCCAACTAAACAGACGTCATCATCAAGGCCCACCTTCAGGTTCTGGTCAACTAGTAAGATCAATATTCAATACATTCGTTCGAGTGATAATATGGCAGATTTCTTCACAAAGGCACTTCGCACATCAGTTTTCAGGAAGCACTTATAGAATATTGGAATGTCACACCTTCGAGATCTTTGAAGAAGAACTAATGTGTTCTATTGAGTGGAGCATAATGTTGTACTCTTTTTCTCTTATTAAGGTTTTTATCCTAATGATTTTTTCATAATAAGGCTTTTAATGAGACAACAAATGTTCTCATAACTATCCTTAATAAGACTTCAACATAACACCATGACAAATATTTCAAAAGGAAGAGTGTTATAATAATAAAAAATTATTATATTTACTATTTAAAATATCTTGTGAATAGTGAATATATCTTACCTACAAGAAATTGTCAATTTGGTACAGTAACTTAAACTTTACATTTACAATTCAAGTGTTATATATACCACACCTTAGTTTATGTAAAGATACACAGAAATTTCAAAAACAAATAATAGTCTCTTCTATCTCTATATTTTAGTTTGTTTCAAACATTTTGGTTTTTCTCAACAAAGATTACTTTTATTGAAAAATTAAATATAAAATTGCTTTTCGTAATTTATGGCCCTATTGTGCAAAACAAGCAGTTTCCTATTGCGCAAAACAAGCAGTTTTGACAATATTGAGACATGAAATATTGTTACTATTCATTTAGTTAGTAATCATTTGCAAGAGTGCATAACTACCACACCAATATTCCATGCATTTAGAATGTGCAAGGCTATGTTGCTTTCTATTTTCTATATAATGGAATAACAGTTTCTCATAATGAACTGCAATAAACAAGGAAAACATATAAATTTTAAATCTATTGCAATCCAGACTGGCTCTCCAAAAAAGGAGCAAAATATACTATCTACTTTTATGCTAATGATGTCTTAATCAAGTGACATGTGCAAGCAGCATTGATATAGAGTCTCAACTATGGTTGTATATCTTGAACAGTCTTCTGTACAGAAGATGAATAATGGGATTCAAGTTCTTTAAGGCTAGCTGCAGCTTCCTCTCCAATCCTCGATAGTGTGTGGTCTGTTTTTTCTGCTAGTTGGTTAAACTCAACCTTTCTTTGTTCTACGTGGTCATTAAGAGAAGCAAATCCTGAAAATATTGCAGTCTGCTTCAGCTCCGACACTAATTTAAGTAGAGAATCAGCGGCTTGTACCTATGTCATTCACCATTAAAAAGACTGAGCAAAATAAAAATATTTCAATAACAACCCTTGAGGTCTGTTTGGTTCCACAGAGAAGAGAAGAGTGATTTGAATACACCTTCTCTCTCGTCCAATAATTGGAAAGAGAAGAGTGATACTGGCAAAGAAGCTTAAGTAGAGATGTGGTCTTACCATCCTAGCAGCACGCATTTCCATCATAAAAGCCTCTTGTGAATTTCTAACAGGTGGATCATTTACCTGCAAGAGTGCAAACTTGATTAAGAAGTTAACAAGTAACAGCTCGACATTATGCATATCTACTTTAGCATGTCAAGAAATCCAAACAATTACTCATGTTTCACAAAAAGAAAGAACTAGTCAATTAGAAAAGACTACAGACACCATTTCCTTGGAGTTACAAAAATTAAGGATTAGATGTTATTAGCAATAAACTAGAGACACACATGTTTATATCTGTTTAATCCCTGGAAACAATATAAGAAGCGTGATGACAAACAAGTCTGACTCTTTTACCTAGATACACTCAGGGCAATTTATGGATCATAAACTTGACAATGTTGATGAAACCAACATTATTTTACTTTTCCAAGATAAAGCCAACTCATACGATATATGACATTGGCATTCTCAATAGACCACATTTGTCTTTATCCTTAAACTCCATTCTAACCTTCGATTATACATGTGTACACCAGTGGCAAATGCCTGAAAATGTTAAATCATAACATACCCTACATGCAGATGGCATCTCCCAAGTTATTTTAAGATCGACCATTGCATAGGTGACTACTTCATTGTGATGTCTTTGGCTGTATCTTACTGCATCAGTCTCTCAATGAATAAGAGAACAGTTAACAAATGCATTATATGGGCTTTTTTCAGCAAAATTGATTCTACAATACAAATCAGTCACTCATCTTCAGTGTCCTCTCTTACTCACTCTTTTCTTTCTTAAATTGTACCCCTGATTTTATTCAGCATGTCTACACATACAACTGAAAGCTCAGACTTATCCCATATACCTTCCAGGACAATGCATTGTTTTAAATATAAAGACATAGTTGCATACATTTAGTTCACAGATGCATTTTATGTGCATTTTTCAGCATAATTGGTCTAGAAGACAAATCAGTCACTCATCCTTAGTGTCCTCACTCACTCTTTTCTTTCTTGATTCGTTCCCCTGATTTTACTCAGCATGTCCACGACACATACAATTAAAAGCTCAGACAAATCCCATATACGTTCAAGCACAATGTATACCTTGTTTTAAAACAACATACATAGTTGCACACATTTAGTATAATTACAAGAAAACCAAGCATATAGCAAAACATTACTTCTAAATAGGACTCAAAATGTGCCATGTTCCACAGACCATCATTGGATTTCGGTCTTTCGGATATAAGAAAAAATCCCAATTCCAATAGCCAATACATCAACAGAATTCCAGAATAGTTGGATATCATCAATGCCATTGCAAGATGCAATTACACGGTACATGGATCATCACTTATCAAATCAACAAAATCCATGTAGTATCAAAATGGGACTCAAGATCACAAACAAAAACAAATTCCATACTAATTAAATTTTGGATGAATTATATACCAATAACCACATCCATATGGCAACTCAGTGTTCATGCTTTATTCCACTTGAAGGCACGGTAAAAAAATTTGGCAATTACAGAAAGTGAAAATAGAAAAAAAATACTGAAAGACAGAGTTCTTAGTAGGATACAATTGAAGGCAGAGTGAAGATATATACATACCCTGGCAACATTGACGAGGTGGCTGAAATTGTCAACAATGTTGGCAATATCACCTTCCACTCTCTGCAACAATGTCTTCTGCTTCTGAGCCGCAGCTGCAGCTGCTGCCGTAGTGGGCCCACTTCCGCCTGGTCCACCTTTGTTCATTCTCTTCTCTCTGTGACAGACTCTGAAGCACAAGAAAGATAGACACATACCGACTCAGCTTTCAGATTTCAGCACTATTAGATTTGAAAATTTCAGTACTAGAATTTTCTTTTACAGAAAAATAGCAGAACTATATACACTAAGGAAAACATGTCATACTATTATTACCCTCTGAACTACAACAGCACTAAACAAAAATTAAAATAAAATCTTAGTAATATCAAAAGGAGAAAAATTGTGTTATAGTAATTTTGCAACATAAAATAACATTATGTGATTATCAAAATCATGAACAATATAAAATATACATCTACAGATAACAGTCTCAGATGTTCACCTCAGACGGGTCGACTAACCAATTGAAGAACAGTAAAGTGGTCAAAAGGGGAAATTTTGCATTGTGAGTTTAGATGGGTGGTAGCAGTGTCTTTATCTGCAACAGGTCATATGGTAATAATAGTCCATCATTAAAAATAAAAATAAGAAACAACGGAAAAAAAAAGTTGAACAAAACATGAAAACCTATTCAGAACAAGATAAACAGAGAGTAATTCCTACTGAGATGATGACTAAAATCACCCAAAACTATATATGATCATTTACATAGATGGTGAAATGTATGATAATTGAAAAAAGCACAAAAGCCTTGGTGTTTTTGCTAGATTTGTTAGTTTTTATTATTATGGCACGATTGTAGGATGTAGAAGCACAACTCTAAATCACCACACCATTATTTCAGAAGATGCATTAGAATTTAGTAGCTACATTACAACATTAGGTTCTCAATCGAAGTGTTAGGAAGCCAGAAAGTATCACAGCAAAACAGAGAAAAAATAAGATAGAAATGAGGATTTAACGAGGAAATGGTTCCTCAACCACAGAGCAACCTTCTTGAAGAGAGCTAGTGCTCTCTACCCATTTCTCTCTAAGATAAGATTTCCTCTCCCCTCTTCTTTCCTATTAATAACTGTAAGGTTCCCTCTTCTTTACTATTAATAACTGTAAGGTTCCCTCTTTCATAGCTAACTGCACTAGTGCATTACATGCACTTCTTTCTAGAATAAACTTGCCACGCCTTGGACACCGCTGGTTAATGTTGGATCAACTCCTCACTTGGGCCTACTGTTTTGGCCCTATCACAAAACATTACATATTAAAACCCACCACTGACCATATGTATGATAGTAAGAGCTGCGTTGAAATTAGATACTCGGTACTTAATTGGAGAAATCCATAACAAGAACTAGCATCGAATCAAAACTTAAACCATCATAGCCTTTGTATGCTGCATCTGTAATAAGCTCTCTCTGCGCTTAAGGCATCGAATTTGATTTCTACTAACACAGCCATCTCTAACATCCAAAATTCTTAACAAAACAGAAATATTCCTTAAAGCTTATAACAGTTAAAGGCCTTATGAACAGTGACCCATCCTAAGTCAATAAGTGTTATCAAATATCTGCAATTGTGGCCCTATGGCGGATATGCATGGCTGTGTTTGGGCTCGCCGCAATGGTAAATATTGACTGATATTGCGGGTTTTTCCGCCATAATCCACTACAACGGCACCGCAAAGTGTCCGGTATGGTGGGATTTTGGCTCTTCGCCGAGGACAACACTAAAGTCAATGCAATCTTGATTCTCAACCAAGTAGCTAACAAAAGTCCTACCTTTCTCTTCCTTGATTCCTTTTTAAGTACTAACTATTATTTCGCCAATTTATCCTAGCTACACCACATACGATAGAGGATCAGAGGAAATTACTTGGCTAATTCCCTTTGAAATTAACAGAGTACTATTACAAAATTAAACAATGTAACAATATCATACAGTGTTATTGAATATCGGCCATGGCAGATATAAGTGGTTTTTTTGGATTCGCCGCAATGGTAAATATCAGGCGCTAATGCGGGTTTTTCTGCCATAATCTGCTATCCTCCATAGGCGACACTGATATTGTATTATAATATTAACTACACACAGACAGGTTAACACTGACTAACGGAACATACAGTCCGGAACCAAACTAACAAATAATAAACACATTCAACACCCAAACTCAATAAGGTAGGATTCATTTGGGTATGTTTTTGTAATAGTTACTTTCAAAGATTACAGTGATAGCGCGGATCAAAATTGTTGTTTACTTAAAACCTCATACTGCATCTAAACAAATATCATCTCTGTTTGTTTCTACCCCTCTCATCCAAATAAATGGACTTTACCCAATTTCATCTACATTCGATTTCAAATTTTCAAATTTCTTTCATCCCACCTATTTATTCTGCAAGCCAGAGCCTAAATAAATAAGGAAGTGAGAAGTGTTGCGGGTGAAAACGAAACCCTTAGTACCAGAAAAGAAAAGGGAAAATTAAGAACCAAGTGAAATACATGGATTGGATTAGGTGGATGAAGCATATGGAGACACCCTTAGGGAAATTATCCCCAGCTATAATAGAATTAAACATTTCTACTTTTAACTTAAGGACAAATATAACATGCATGCACTCATCACAACCATTTCTCTAATTGGCATCGAGTTGATTCAATAACTCAACCTCAACGATTTGAAAAAACATGGAATCTTAGCTACTTGTTCGAGAATGTCTCCCTTAACCAATATAGTCAGACACGAGATCTTAACTAGGATCGATCAACTTGCGAAAGATCGTAAAACTCGGATCGTTAGCTATTATAGTGAGATATGAGAAAGAAGAGAGAGAAAGCTAAAAGAGAAAAGAGAGAAACTGATTACGTTATTATATTGAATTGGAATGGAGCATGGTACTCTATTTATACAAGAGGAGTTGAACATTCAAGAGTTGAATCATTCAAGCTCTACATTTAAGGATGACCTTAATTATTCTATAGTGCTGAACTTTTCTTATTCTATTAAATTAAGGCTGGCCTTAATTATTCTATAGTGCTGATTTTTCATATCCTAAGATATAACTCTAATACTCCCCCACAAGCTCAAGGTGGCTGCAAAGACTGACTTGAGGCAGACAGGTTGAGCTTGCCGCTGAGCTCCATAAATCTTGAACTTGAGAGAGGCTTAGTGAGGATGTCAGCCTTCTGGTCAATACCAGGAATGTGGCAGAAGTGAGAGACTTATTAAGGACCTTTTCTCTTACAAAAAATAGGTCAATTTCCATATACTTTGTTCTTGCATGAAGAACAGGGTTATGAGCCATAGCAACTGTGCTCTGGTTGTCACAATAGATGGCTGGAGTTGTCAAGGGAATTTTTAGTTCAGCTAGCAGAGTTTGAACCCATAAAACTTCAGCTGTGGTGTGAGCCAAGCTGTGATACTCTGTCTCAGCACTAGGACGAGCAACAACAGTTTGTTTTTTGGACCACCAAGAGATCAAATTAGGGCCTAAGTACACAGCTGACCCAGAGGTGGATCTTCTATCATCTGGGTCAGCAGCCCAGTCAGCATTACAGTAGGCCTGCAGAGAGAACGGAAGAGTGGAGGCAGGAGTGAACAATAAACCAGAGGTGATAGTGCCTTTTAGGTAGCGCAGAATACGCTTGACAGCTAGCCAATGGGACTCCAAGGGGTGTGCCATGAACTGACATACTTTGTTAACAGCATAGCAGATTTATAGGCGTGTAATTGTTGCATACTGCAGGGCCCCTACAATGGACCTGTAGTGAGAAGCATCAGACAAGGCAGCAGACCCTGTTTTGATGAGTTTGGTGGTGGATGCCATAGGAGTAGCAACTGGATTGGAGTTCTCGATATCAGTTTTGATTAGCAAGTCCCGTAGGTACTTAGATTGAGTGAGAAGGAGATTACTGTTGGACAGTTTCTTCACCTCAAGGCCCAGAAAATAATCCAAGTCACCAAGTTGTTTGAGAGAAAACACATGATTTAGTTGTTGAGTAACTTGCTTGATGAGAGGAGGAGAGTTGCCTGTGATGATTATATCATCAACGTAAACTAGCATATAAATGATAGCACTGTGATGCTTGTAGATGAACACTGAAGTATCACACTTGTTGTTCAGAAAGCCAAAGGATAAAAGAGTGGTTTTGAGTCTTTCAAACCATTGCCTTGGGGCCTGTTTGAGGCCACACAAGGCCTTGTGCAAGTGACAAACCAGAGATGAATTAGGGGCAGTAAATCCAGGGGGTTGCATCATATAGACCTCCTCTTCAAGAATGCCATTCAAAAAGGCATTGTTTATATCCAACTGCTGCAGAGGCCAATTGTAAGTGAGAGCAAGAGTCAAAATGGCCAATTGTAAGTGAGAGCAAGAGTCAAAATAATTCTAATTGTGATCGCTTTAATAACAGGGGAGAAAGTTTCATTTTATTCAAATCCATGGACTTGATGGAACCCCTTGGCAACAAGCCTAGCTTTGTACCTATTTATTGTCCCATCAGCATTTTCCTTTACTAGAAAAAGCCACTTGCAGCCTATTGCTTTCCTGTTAGCAGGCAGTGGTACCAAAGACCAAGTGTTGTTCCTTATCAAGGCACCATACTCGTCTTGCATAGCAGCAAACCACTTAGGATCTTGGAGAGCAGTTTTAACACTCTTAGGCTCAGAATTGACAAGAAAAATGGAAGGATTTAAACGAGGTAAGGGTACACCAAATTTAGTTCTAGTAGTCATAGGATGAGTATTGGTGGGGAGAGGTTGAAGGTTAGGATCCATAGGAGCAGAAATATAGGAGGAGGATGGTGAAGTGGTAGTAGTAGGCTGATTGTTGGCATTTGAAGAGGGTGAAGGAGTAGGATTAGTGCTGGTTGTTTGTGTTACAGGAGTGGCTGACACAGAGACAGTAGGTGTGTGGCTGGAATTGGATTGAGAAGAAGAGGAGTGTGAGGTAGTGGAAGCAGTAGGAACGGGAAAAACATTGGGGAGAGCTTGTGTGTTAAGAGTTACTTTAGATGAGGAGGAGGATGGAATGGTTGATGAGGGGAGAGAAACATTAGAGAAAAAAAGATCATTGTAAGGAAATTTGGACTCATTGAAAAGCACATCTTTAGAGATGAATATTCTACCACTTGGGGAAAGACATTTGTAACCTTTGTGAGTTGTAGAGTACCCTATAAAAAAATGCACTCATGGGATCTAAAGTCAAATTTCTGAGAGTTGTATGGGCGAAGGAGAGAAAAACAAGCACACCCAAAGACTTTGAGGAATTTATAGTCAGGATTCTTATTGAAAAGGACAGCATATGGTATATGTTGATTGAGAGACATGGTTGGTAACCTATTTTATTAGGTAGACAGCAGTTAAAAAGGCATGATCCCAAAATTTGAGAGGTAAAGAGGCATGACTCAAGAGGGTTAAACCAAGATCAACAATGTGTCTATGCTTCCTCTCCACTACACCATTTTGGTAATGAGTGTAAGGGCAAATTAGACGATGAATAATGCCAAGATCAGAAAGAAACTTTGTAAATGGGCGAAAATCACCACCCCAATCAGTTTGGACAGATTTAATAGGAAATCCAAATTGTAATTCAGCCATGACTTTAAATTGTTTAAAGATAGTTAAGGCTTCAGATTTATTTTTGAGCAAATAGATTCAAGTAAATCTAGTGTATGCATCAACAAGGTAATGTAGTAGGTAAAGTTTTGGGAGGATTTAACTGGGGCGGGACCCATAGGTCACTGAAAATTAATTCAAGAAGAGAGTGATATTGAGTTTGTGACTGAGGGGAGTGCAGCCTATGTGCCTTTCCCATACAGCAGGCAGAACAAAAGACAGATTCAGCTTTATTAGAATAGGGAATATTACATTGAGCTAAAACAAGTCTCATAATATTAGAATTTGGATGACCAAGGCGTAGATGCCAAGTATGTTGAGAATTATATGAGTTATTAGGTGATACATTTTGATTAGAAACTGAAATCCTATCACTAGTGCTGGAATCAGATCTTGAAACAGGAGCATTATAGTCTAAGGTGAGACATGAGACTTGACTTGTTGAAGGAGACTTAAGAAGCTGAAGATGGGGAAATTGGTACAGGCCATCACTTCCTACACGTCCTTGAAGCAGAATTTCATTGGTAGCCTGAGATTTGACATAGCACATATCAGCATGAAACTCAAAGAAAACTTTATTATCAAGACAGAATTTGCTGACACTTATCAAGTTCTTTGTAATAGAAGGAACAAACAATAAATTATGAAGAGCTAATGGAGTGTTGGGTTTAGAATGAGAGGGAAAATAAGAAGAGCCTGAAGAGTGAATGTGCAAACCTTGACCATTACAAATGAAGATCTGATCAGGACCTTCAAAAGGTGTGGTCTGCTGTATGTTTTGAGAGGCATTGGTAACATGATATGAAGCTCCTGAGTCTGTGAACCAGGCACTGCTTGGAACTGAAGTTGTGTTAGCAATCATAGCATTGGGAGTGATCTGTGACTGAGTAACAGGGAGAGGAGCAAGTCTTGGTTGATAGCTTGGGCGTGACCAAGTGTTAACCATGGGCTGAGCAAACTGAGGTCCACCAATTGGTTGATACGGATTGTAGAAATTTTGTAGGTTTATTGTTTGAAAATTAGCAGGTATGTTAGGTTGAAACTGTTGATTGAATCTATGATAGCAGTTAGCAGCAAGTTGACCATATTTAAAGCAAACTTGACATTGAATGTTGTTGAACCTACCTCTCCCACGGCCGCGTCCACCACCACGGCTAGATGCACGACCTCCTCTTGAATAGATTGGTTTAAAGGTTGAATTCACAGTTTGTTCAATGTTCTTGTTATTGGAGTTATCAGTTTCAGATTGAGAATTAGCTTGAGTGAGATTCACCAAGGCAGCCACCTCCGTTTGAGAGTGTTTCTTATACTTGTTGAATCTCATCTCATGAGCAAGAAGTAGAGCTTCAACTTCTTCAAGTTCTATTGAATCAAACTTGCTTTCAATGACTGAAATAACAGAGACAAAGTCTTGAGGAAGACCTTCAAGAATCACATCAATGTATTGTTGATCTAGAACTGGATCTCCTACTGAAGCAAGCGCATCAACAAGAACTTTGATGCGAACCAGGTGATCACCAACAGATTTGTCTTCAAGTGTTGTAGATCTGACTTCCGCTCATAGTTGTCTTGCTTTCGCACGAGTAAGCTTTTGAAAATGCGCAAGAATACGTTCCCAGAGTTCATAGGAATGAACGCATCCAAGAACGCGTGAAAGAATTGAAGGTGAAAGCGTGGATTAAAGCCACATCATAAGCCACCGATCTTGCGTAATCCAGGTGCGATACGCAGGGTTCTCACGAGCAGCTGCACAATCTTCATCAGTTATTGATTCGGTATGTCATGAAGGTAAAGGTAGTTTTGAAGATTATTTGCGTTAACGAAAGAATCTACTTGTTGGCGCCAAAGTATGAAATTCTTCTCATCAAGTTTTTCTGTGATTTTGAGTTGGAATGACATAGATGTTGCGGTGGCTAGAGCCGCTTCCATGGATAGAATCGAAGCTCTGCGATACCATATTATAGTGAGATATGATAAAGAAGAAAGAGAAAGCTAAAAGAGAAACTGATTTTGTTATTATATTGAAGTGGAGTGGAGCATGATGCTCTATTTATACAAGAGGAGTTGAACATTCAAGAGTTGAATCATTCAAGCTCTACATTTAAAGATGACCTTAATTATTCTTTAGTGCTGAACTTTTCTTATTCTATTAAATTAAGGTTGGCCATAATTATTCTATAGTGCTGATTTTTCATATCCTAAGATATAACTCTAATATTAGCAGAACACATAAGATCCTACCAAAGGAAAAATGGTAATTTCATATGTATTTATACACACACATACACATGAACACGTGAATTATAATTCAGGCCCAAAAAATGGTCCAGCATGTTTTTTTTATGATCTTACCTCAAAAAGCTCGATCTTGACCACACCAACGACGAAAATGATCTTCTTTGATCGTAGCACTCTTGGGCACCCTTGGCACGTAAGATCTAGCACTCGAACTTGACTACACTGCCCTTAACTATCTTGAGTATGCAGGTAAAAATATTTCTTTCCTAATTTAAAAGTCAAACAAATTTCACAACTGATAGACCCACAAGCCACAAACGAAACCGAAAAATAACAATGCTAAAATACTTGTCGAATACTTTCAAACTTATTTGTAAGTTCTGAACTTCTCACGCTGAGGAATCACATATTCTAAACTGATAACTCCTTACAAACTAACAAAATTTTAAAATACAACTAGAACCTAATGCATCAATGATACAACTAGAACCAAACCACCTCTGTTTTTATCTAATTTGTTTAAAGCTTAAACCACAAATGCAAGTAAATCTCAGACTTCTAACATAATATACTTGTTTCAATCATTCTAATTTCTGTTACATAATGGCCAACAAAATCATCCAGAAGAAACAAATTAACTACCAAATTCATTTTTTAATGCAAGGAAACTTTTGGATTTTCTAAGAAATGTTTGATTTTTATAGCAAAACATAGGAAAAATTCAATATAATAGTATCAATTAACCCAAACCCTATTCAAAGTTTGATCCTTTTAGTTTTTAAAGTTTAAACTCAGAAATTCATGAAAGGAAGTTACTCACCGTAGGAGAAAATAAGGGCCACAACCGAGATAGAGGGACCGGCACGGTGGTGATAATCCGCAACGACGAAGGTGGTCGAGAAAGATGGACCGGCACGGTGGTGTTAGTCCACAACGGCGAAGGGAACGAAATGTTATTGTGATATTACGGTGTTAACCTAGTAAGCAGGTGAAACAGAAGTTCCGTTTTTCTCACTTAAGTTAAAAATAAGGTCCACGTGACCAATGGAAAAAATAAAATGGGTTAGGGCTAAAAAAAATTAGAATTTAATTAGAATATAGAAATTTTAAACCGATAATAAATTAGAATTGTTAGATTATAAATTATATTTGATTTTTATTTTAATTATTTATAAAATAGTATTTATAAGTGATTGATTGTATAAAAAATTTACATTGATATTGCATAATAATTAATCTTTTAAAATTATTATTAATCAATAAAATAAATATCATCGACCAAAAAACAAAATTAATAAATATCAAAAAATCATTCCCTCTCTTTTGAAATGTCAATTTTTGACTTTTATAAATATTAAAAAATTCTAATCAATTTTATTACTTTTGAAATATTATGAGTAACTCAAAAAGTGACATTAAAAAAAATACAAGAAGTAAGTTGTACTTCATCTCTTTCAAAAGGACTATTATTTTAGTAAATAAAATTTGTTTTAAAATGACTCTCGTTTTCATTTTTTAATATAGTAATGATTATTATTTTTTCAATTGTGCCGTTTATTTTTTTACTTTGGACACTACTTTCAATATATTAATAAGATTAATTTTGTAAAAGTGTAATTTCTTATGACAATATTATTGTGTTCTTTAAATTGTGTGTAAAAACTTTAAACAACAATCATTTAATACGGGAGAAATATAATTTTATGGAGAAACACTCCAAATTATGTTGGCAATATTTTCTTTAATATGGAATTGGCACGTTGATCATTCTTTATTCATGACGTTGATTTCTTTTTCTAGGTCAAAATTTATAAAGTTTTTTTAATCTTTCATTTGAAGTTTACCTTTAATTTTTGATCCCTTCAAACTTTTGTTATGAATATCGTTTGGACTATATTCAATCCTCTAAACAATCATTTTTCAATTATTTTGTTAGATCTTGAAGCCTTGCATGTACATTTTTACGAGAAGAACGAGTACAAATAACAGTTAACTATTTTCATCTTGATACAATCATTGCAAATATATTGCGGCATTGTTCGCGTGTGTTTTTAGCAAGAAATCACGAGTTTGGTTCACTTGTGAAATTAACTCGAAAAATCTCGAAAGCAATATGTGCAAAATAAATGTACAAGGAAAAGTGTTTGTGAATTGAATGTAAACATTTGTAGAAAGACAAAATGGACACAAACTGTTATAGCGAAAAAGTTTGGACATAGATAATAAATAAAAAGTACAAAAAATGACATTAAACAGAAAATGCAGTAAATGACATCAAAGCAAAATGTTCCAAATAAGGAAACATGAAAACAATGAAAGAAAGGGACGCAGACTGATACATGTTTCTCACAAATTGCTCCGCTCTTTGACTCGGTTACTATAATTCTATAGAGAAATATATGAGTTTTATTACCTCGATTATAAAGCATGAGTCTGCTATTTATACTAATCTAAAGATAACGATTTTTGGCAGTTTATTCCTAGAAAATGGACATATGTAAAGAACATGCAATTCAATCTCTGAAGTACCTCCACGTTGTCAGAATTTGCAAAGTGTTGAAAACCATTATCTCGCGTTCGTAACTGCTCCAAGAAGATAAGTGTCTTCTTGTCGAAGGTGTTTAGTGAAAACCTCTAGTGTTGAAACAACTTATTTCCAATCTTTAGATTTTAAAATATTTTAAGTCCTTGATGTCTGTCGAACACTTCAACTTTAACATTGTGTCAAAAGATCAGTTGGATATGTTCTTGTGATTCTTCCAGACCATATTCATCACGCTAGTCGAAACACTCTAGTCAGCATGGTTGTTGTTGCCAAAGCTTGTTAATAAATACTCTTTAACACTTAGTATTTTCTCATGTATCATTCTTTGACTTTTCCTTAGCTAGAATTTCCATGCTAGTAGATACCCCAAAAAATGTAACTTTCAATCATATGTATTAGATGGAAGAAAGGTAGCATTTTTACAACTCTTCGACATTTTTCAAATAGCATGTACACGACACAATCAATAAGATGTATTTTAATCATCATGACACTTTTCTACCAAACTGTCACTTGAGACACGTGCTATGGATGATCATTATTATCTCCAATTTCCTAGGAGATTAATGAGCCACAAACATCAATGAAATTAAAAAGAAATTATTCAATTTCAATATTTCATCTTTTCTCATAACTCTTAGTTTCATTTGTTGATTTGACGTGCCCCTTGTCCAGATTTTGGAGGGAAAACTGAAACGATCTCTTCCTCTTTTTGGCTACTTAAATGCTTCTTCATCAACTCTCTTCTCTTTCACCGGTTCCTTCCTTGAAAAGAAAGAGAGAAAAACCTAGAGAGCTTATGTGACTTCTGTTAACTTTGTAAGTTCTATGATTTAAAGATTGGCATTAATTTTTATAAAACAAATATAGCAGCAATATGTTAAATAGGATGTGATTACTTGCTATGAAGAACAGGTTGAGCAAGAAGACCTATTTTATGAAGAACGTGTTGATTTGAAATGTTTCAACATCTGGAGCAATGTGTCGGATAAGATGTCATATGCAAGGTTATACAACATCGTGCCTGAGCTGAGCTGAACATTTGGATTCTGTTATGATTTAACAGATGCATAATATTCTGGGAATATTATGCAATTTTATGAGGAACTGATTCAAAGGTCTGGAAGAATCAAGAAAAATATTTAAGAATATTGACTTTCTAAATAAGGAGTCTTTTTAGGAAAGATTTGATTGAAGACCTATTTTGTTGCATAATCTTCTGCATATTTGTAGTAGCTGATATGTTGTGATGTGAAGCCCAAATCCAGTTGGGAGATAGGTTATAAATAGAAGCATTGCAACTTAAAAGAAGGCACCAGCCGTAAATTAGAAAGATCTAATCATTAAGGTTGAGTCTGTATGCCACTCTCTAGGAGAGTTAGTCTGTGTTACAGAGTTGTTATCTCTATTATTGTTCTCCTCGAAGCTGTGAAGAAAGAGGGAGTATTGTTCTTGGAGGAAGCTTGTAAGCAACTCCAAGTTGTGTTCTTAGTCAAGAGTATTGGCTAGTTATTATCATGTAAGTGTGTCTTTAGTTTTACGTCATGGAAGTGTGTCTTCCTGTTTTTTCCAATCGTTGTCTCTGATTGATGAGGGATTGAGGAGGGCCTCATATCTAGGTGAATCTTAGATATAAAGTTAGCATGTAGTGATTAAGTGAGAAATTGTAAATGGGGGAGTTTATCTTCAAATTGATACTATTATAGTGAACTTTATCTCTGGCTTGGTATGCCCCCAGATTAGAAGAGTTGCTCCGAACTAGGTTGACAACTCATATGTGTTATTTATGCTTTTCAATACTGTTTTGTTAATTATTTATACCTTGCCTATATGTTTTGTTCAGATCATATGTCCCAATATGTCATAGGGCATCTAAAGTCTGATATACCAAAATTTCAATTGGTATCAGAGCAGACATCATGTTCTGTTGTGGGTGAGATCCAGGGATGATACTTTCTGGTCATGGGAAAGGAAGGAGCTTTTACTGAAAAGTTGTTTGAACTTGGATAAGTTCATATTTTTTGTTTGAATGGTCCCTTAAAGTGGAGGATGAACTATTCATTACAGGATGTGTATTGGACTTGTCTATTGTTATCAAGCGTGTAGCTTTGGTGGAGAGCTGCTATTTTGGGTTTGATTTATTTTCAAACCTATATTTTGGCACCTGAATTGTGATGTTCGTGTGCAAGGGTACGTTGTGCCTAAAGGATGTTGAGGAGTTGTTGTGTTTTCTTTCGCTTCATGGTATCTGATGTAACCCTGGTTGCTCCTTGTGTCTCTAGTGGTGAGACTTTAGTAAGGTATTTTCTTGGAAGGGCATTAGGATTTGGTCTCCTCAGCAGGTTTATCCTATGGTGATGGGATATGTACAAGACTGGTTCAACCAACTCTGTAAAGTTGCCAATGATACTTGAGTTTTATTTCTCAAGTTCACTCATAAAGGCACTTTAGTGTATGGTTGATGTACTTTTCAAGAAACCTGGAATTTATTTTGCAGACTATTGAAGAAAAGATAGAGCCATTTATTTTGGCTTCTAAAAGAGTCTTCCTAATTCTTGACCTAATTAGGGAAGTGACTCTGAATCTTGTTGTTGTTTGTGTAGTTGGAGCTTAGACTATTTTTGAAGACCTTGAAGGTGATCAAAGGATGTTTTGATTTTCTGGAAGCAGTA